CAGCTTATTAGGAAAATGACTGGGTCTGTTTTATCCAACATCATCTCAGCTTCACCCAGCACAGCCTGCCTATGATGGCTGGGAAATAAAAGGGCTCTCACACCCCTGACCCCTTAGCTGAGGCTACCCCAAACTCTGCCTCGATCATTGGGAAGCAAGTGTGAGTAGCCATGAGTAAGAGTTTTAAAAAATTGAGTTTAATCAGGAATATTCGTTTGCTAGAGGGACAGCCTAAAAGCTCAAGATGTGGTGACATCTAACTCTCACTGTTCCAGTCTCCCAGTGGAAAAGATGGGTTGCCTGGGCAATAATCTTTATCAGAGGATGATTTACTGTCAGAGAAAAGCATCTATATTTCCGGGTTAGAAGGTATATATGACCACCAACCAACTGTAACTGTGATCTGAATTGTGAAAGTGTATCAATACAGACTTTGTGAGGTGGCCCCATTCTCAGGAGTAAGCAGAACAGGCATAAAACTGATCCTAAATCCTTCCTGAGCAGTCATACCCTCCATGACGTGAAAGTCTGCCATATTTTACCAGGAATCTTTCTAAGAAATGATAGAATCATTCTAAGAAAAGGGTCATTTTACATGTGCCTGGTCCTCTCTGAAATCCAAAAAAATACTTCTCTATGCTTTCATAAGTTCTCAAACCTCCCCCTCCCAAGACCACGCACATGTTCAGTGATTTGCTAGAAGGCTTATGGGATACAATCTATATTTGTACTAAAAACGAAGCTTTATCATTTGATAGCCGGGCACCATCAGCTTTCTTCACCACTTTTGCTATGCACCACTTTGTCCTCAGCGATCGAGTCAGGACAGGCTGGTGTGCTTCTTCCATGTGGGTTTTGTTGTCTCTCAGCTAGATGGCTGCTTGTTTATCTTCAGGTCTTTAAGACTTCGGGTGCTATATCTTTTGGTAGCCAGGCACCATCAACTTTCTTCACCACATTTGCTTGTGCACCCACTGTCTTCAGCGACTTCAGGTGCTATATTTTTTGGTAGCTGGGCACCATCAGCTTTCTTCACCACATTTGCCTCTGCACCCATTGTCTACCAAAAATATACACAATAATAGATGTACAATGCTTTTGCCTAAGGAAGCTCATCAAAGACTCAATACCCAAGCTTTTCATTGGGGCTGCTTATGTAGTCAATCTTTGCCTGGCAATTACCAAAAGTCTACACTCCTAGCGTAAACCAGGTGTTCACCATAATCGCATTGTTTGTACAGTCTAGGCAAAGTGAATTATCTTTATCAGTTAAGAGTGGAGGGAACTCTCTGAAGGCCAAGTTCCCAGACACCAGCCAACAGTCAACCTTGCAAGCAGACCCTTTTAAGATAGTAGCAGGGTTTGTTTGTTTGTTTGTTTGTTTGTTTTTTCCTTTTCTTTTTTCTCTCGTCTTTTTCTTTTCCCTTTTTTTTCTTCAACCGTAGGTTTTCTTATTGTTAGGACTAGGACATGGGTGGTGTCCCTAATTATATGGGTTGGACATGGGAGGGAAGCCTGGGGAGAAATCAATGGGGCCAGTGGCCCTGGAAGGTAGAGAGGGAACAAGGAGATGGGGAGAAGGGTGTGGTGAGTGGACGGCGTCATGAACAGGGGAACAACCAGGGAAGCGGAACCAGCATCTAGGAGAGGGTAGAGATGCTGTGAGTATCACAGCAACACCAAGCTCCTGTAGAGGAAGCACTAAGAGGTGGAAGAAGGGGGAAAGTGATGTTGGGGCAGGAGGAGGCAAAAAGAAACAGAGGCAAGCTCTAGGAAGCAAAGGCATGGATAGGGAGATTAACAGAGGTGTCCACTTATGCAAATACATTAATCCATACCAATAGTGATATTGGCCTATGTACATATATTTATAAGGCAATACATTGAAGTTGCATACGGGCCTTGGGCCTCAGCTCATACCTTCCCTCAATACAAGGACACTTTGTTTTAGCAAATTGGCATTCTATGATGCTCACCCCACCCCAGCCACCCCCCCAGCCCCTCACACACACATGATCTCTGA